ACATGAGATCATGTTGATTGGAAAGCCTCGAATCTGGCCTTTGGTAGTTCTGTTAGCAATGGGGGGCCAGGATCATGCAAGCAATTAAGTCCTCAGAAATGTATCTGCATTAGAGATACATAATTGTGGAAGCCCATCTGGTCTGATTTTAGCTTCTCAGCATTTCTCTAAGGTCCTGTAAAAGCCATGGCAGGGAAAAAAACAACAAAAATTCCATGCAGTATACTTGTCAAGAAATATATTTCATAAATCAGTGTTGATATTTTGAGTCACAGGACACAAAGGAGTTCTATTACAGTTTATTACAATTCTATAACATTTGTTTCCAGTAGCAGTTAGCGGTTTGGCTGGAACAGCCTCCACTCATCTGTCTTCTACTACTTTGGAATGGGGGATTGGAGCCCTGAAAGCAGCTTTCACTAGAAAGAAGCAAGCTAATGAATGATTCCAAGCTTTTCAGTGGTTTGTGCCTCGTAAGAAAGTAGACTGAATATACAAATGCGTCTCCTCCTCTCTCTACTTACTAAACCATAAACCCCCTGCTGACCTCATGGCATGCTTCCTGCGCACAAGGTCCCTCACTTAGAAGGGCCAAAGTTTGGTTTAATGCTTTGCTGTTGCTGTCTTAAAATTCTTAATTTTTGAAAAAGGAGTCATGTTTTCATTTTGCATTGAGCCCCACAAATTAGGTAGCCAGTCCCGGGTACTCATTTCCAGAGATTCTGGGTAGTTGTTTTTGTATCACCAAGAACTTGGCCGGGGCACTTAGGGGATGCCCAATAAATGTTTTTAGCATGAGTACGTGGGTGACTTTTAAAGCTTTAAATAAAAGCAACTAACCTGAATCTTAATCCATTTAATTTTGCTGATGTGAGGAGGGGAGAGAGGTACTCAATTTTTGAGAAAAAATTTAAGATATAAGAAGGAACCTAAAATTGTATACGCAATACCTGTTTCCATCATAACATGGCAGCTAGTATGTTATTTATTTAAAATGCTTATTTAAAAATAAAAAGCAAGTAAAGTTTATCTACTGACCCCACCTCTAATCCTATTCATCTCCCCACCTGCTCATTGGAAGACAAAGCACTAGTATAAATGGTGTATCCTTCCAGTATTATCCCTTTACAATGCCAGGAATAATTTATGACAACATATTCTGGGTACATGTCTTAATATTTATGTAAATGATATGAAACTGTATATATTCATCATTCTGCAATTTGCTGTTTTCATTCAATATTTTGTTTGTAAAAATCTATGTTGATACATGTAGCTTTAGTTCATTCATTCTCGTTACTGTATACAGAAGGAATGAAAACCCCTTCTTTTTTTTTATTTCAGCATATTATGGGGGTACAGATGTTTAGGTTACATATGTTGCCCTTGCCCCCCGCCTTGAAGTCCGAGCTTCAAGCGTGTCCATCCCCCGGATGGTGCGCATCGCACTCTTTGTGTATGCATATACCCGTCCCCTCCTCCCCCCTTCCCTCTGCCCGCCATCCAATAGATGTTTTTCTTATATGTGCACCTATGTATTGATCAGTTAATGCCAATTTGATGGTGAGTACATCCGGTGCTTGGAAACCCCCTTCTTGATCTGCTGCCACACTTACTGAGGCTGTTTAGAGCCTGAGGAGTCTTTCTTTGTATTCTGGTACTGCCACTGGTAAAAGTCATTAGATAGGTAATACTGGGCAAGGTAAGTGAATGTTTTAAAACTCAGCTTTCACATTTGTAAAATAAGACGAATAATTTATACCACTTAAGATTTTTTTTGTGTGACAATTAAATGAGATATGTAAAACCCAGAATGTCGTAAAGGTTCAAAAAATAGTGTGGGAATTATCTTACTCTGACATATATAAATCTGAATATCATGAAGCCCTAAGTGCAAATAATGTCATAGTGATCTTGAATTTGTATCAAGTTTTCTTATTGTACTCTTAGCTTTGCTATTGGTCTTAATTCTTTTTTATAACAATAAGAACATTTCGTTCCTAAAATGCAGTGCTGGATACATCTTACAGTGTGGTGTATGTGGGTTTTTTCTTTCTTTTTTTACAAAATTGAATAATATTGCCTCTAACATACTTCCCATGGGATGAAAAGGCTAAAACTCATATAATTATGTAGCTATAATATTAAGCACTTATAGAATTAAAACTATTTTCTACTTTATGTATGTATAATTGGAAAAAAATGACTAGTGTTTTCCAACTTTCATTTCACAAAGTAGCAAATAATAAACTGAGAATTCTGGAATTCTGTCAAACCATAACTATGCTGCTCTGCAGACCCCAACCTGCAATTAGAAATTAAACACCTAAGCACACATTGAGCTATTTTTTTCATGTTCCTTGTACATTTTTAAAAAATATTAACATTAAATATAATCTTCTGAGTAGATTGAAGTCTGTGATATGTTAAGAAACTTTATGTAACATTCTGAGTTTCCCTGTGATTTTAGAGCATTATATTTTGGTTGTTCAACAGATTTTATACAATTCGCTATAGAGAAAAAGACAAGGAAAAGAAATGGATTTTTCAACTTTGTCCAGCCACTGAAACAATTGTGGAAAATCTAAAGCCTGACACAGTTTATGAATTTGGAGTGAAAGACAACGTGGAAGGTGGAATTTGGAGTAAGATTTTCAATCACAAGACTATTGTTGGAAGTAAGTACCTGGAATTGTTTGTTTCAGTAAACTTTTTTGTAATTTTGTGTTATTTTTCCTAATTATCCAATTTTTAATGATTTTATTCATTGTATAATATGAAATAAGTTAATTCTTGTGCCCTAGTATTTAAGAAACTATAAAAGAGGACATTTAATAAAAGAGAATTTATTGAGTGTTGATATTTCAGAATCTTTTTATAAGTGATTTTTTACATAAGTGATAAAACAACATTTGGTGCCTGTATTGATAAGTCATTGGCCATTATAGTATTTTGAAATCAATTCCTGACCTATGACTACCAGCTGAACCAAAAAACCAATAATATGTGCAAATATTCCCAATAGAAACTGGAGCAGTAGAAGTGGATGTAAAAAGACTTTAAGGACCCTTGAGCTTTCTTCCAGTTATCTTTTCATTAACACTTCATTGGGATCAGTGTTTGAAATGATAGTAATTAAAATAATATGCCCAAGTTAGAGCACAGGTTGTAGTTGCCTTCATAATGATTAGCTAGACTTGATTTAGGAGCAAGAAGAATGAAAATAATGGCATTTTCCCTTGTTTTTATCAGGTAAAAAAGTAAATGGGAAAATCCAAAGTACCTACGACCAAGTCCACACAGTGGTATGTACCAGTGCACCAGTTTATTTTCGAGAAGTTTTTTTAAAAAAATCGTATCTGCGTTGCATTTTTATTTAAATAAGGAAATACTCATTATGAGAGACTGAAACTGGATTAACTGACTAGCTATGTGGCATTGGGTAAAGTACTTAATGTTTTAGGAATCAGTTTCTTTTTCTGAAAACTGGTGGAAGCATGATTTCAGATCATCTCTAATCTGTTTGAAACTCTAAAATTCTGAGATTCAATATAACTATTTTACTATCTCAGTATTCTGGGTATTTTCAGGTTATGCTTATTATTATCTTCTCTCTTGTAGATTGCTTTTTAATATAACATTTCAAGCCTGAAATGGTACATGCTCTCGGTACATTGCTACAGTTTAAATCTTTCCTCTCTGTTTTCTATCACTTCCTACTTAAAAGAGCCAACCCTTACATGATGAGGAAGCCACTGGTTTGGTTTGGTAACATGCCCAGCCTCTATTCAGTTCAGTTAATGTTTGTGTATTTTATGAGCCAGGCATTCCCGACCCCTAGCCCCCACTAATCTAAACATTCTCTTCTCCCTCACTTCAGCAATTTGGTCTCTCATATTCTTTTACCTTCCCCTTTTTGAAATCTGTTCTTAGCAAGCATCATGTTATTTACGTACTACCTGGTATAACTGTAAGCCATTGTCGGAGCCATCACAGAAATGTTTGCATTTCAAAGCACATAACTGATTATAAAATGAAGGACATTATGTTGCTGAGCAGACAGAGGAGGCACTTTGAAGAGATGAAGGGAGTTAGGTGCTGGCTTTGGTCCCTATGTGTTGGAAGTATCCAGCCAGGGAATTATCCTAGCGTCAGGTGAACCTGCAGCCCCTATTTATGGATGCATATTTGCTCGCTTTGGTGTGTGGGTGATGTATGTGGATGAGTCTCTTTTTATGTCAAATTAAACAGTCCACAGAATACCCCGTTGATTACGTAGCCCACTCTGGGAGAAAAAAAGCAGTATATACTTCATTAGAATTCAACACATACACAAAAAAGGAAGATTGTTTTCAGTGACAGAAAATAGTCTTGGGTAAAATAGAACTGAATGAAAATTAATCCTCATAAAGCAAATGTTGTTTATGTGGTTTGAATTGGCAGGAAAGTGTATTCATTGTGAAATTATTATCAAATAATAATTATTAGATTATTGTGATTGCTAAGTAAGTATTTTGATGTATTTCAAATCTTAACACAAGAGAGAGGATTGCAGGTAAAACTAGGTCTGGATTTTTTTCTTTTCTTTTTCTTTGTTTTATTTTATTTTATTTTTATTTATTTATTTTTGGTTGGTTGGTCAGTTTTTTGTTTTTAGGTTTTGCTGTTTTCCTAAATATTTAAAATATTTCCTAAATACGTAAAAATTTAGAAATTAAAAATGGGGAAAGAAGCACTAACAAGGTTACCTATAACAAAGCTACCTATTACAGCAATATAAAACCGTTTATAGTCTACTGTTAAAGCTTTAGGACATTTTATTTTTCTGTTTTCTAAATATGTTTTCAGTATGAAATTCATACTATTTATGAAAATTTATATCTTGCTGTTTTCACTTAGTCAAAATATGGCATAAATATATGTCATTAAATGCTCTTCATAAACATAATTTTAATTGTTTATTACATCATCTAAATACACTATCACTTACTTAATCAGTTTCCAATTCATAGGCATTTAAGTTACTTACAATTGTTTTTTAATTGTTACTTTAATAATTGTGAGTGATATTATGGTGAACACTTACAAAGCTTTGTTTGCACTCCTGATTGTTTCCTTAAAATTAGAAGGGAAATTAACAGTTTAGATTTTTAAAATTTTTAAGGCTTCCTTATATGTGTGATCAAATTTCTTTCCAGAAAGGTTGTACCAATTTACAATCTTACCAGCAATGTACCAGAGTTTCTCTTGCTATAGTACCATGATTGGCAACATTATGTATTTCCATCACTACATTTTCGGCTAATATAATAGTTTAAAATGGTTACTTTAATTTCCATTTCTGTAATTACTGATAAGGCACTACTTTATTATTTTTTTTATTTCAGCATATTATGGGGGTACAGATGTTTAGGTTACGTATGTTGCCCTTGCCCCCCCCAAGGTACTACTTTCTTGTTTATTAGCCATTTGTATTTTCCATTTAATGACATTTAGTTGGAATTCTTTGTTTATTAGGTGTTTTATGGTATTTTTATTGAAAGAATTTATAGATAAACAGTCACTCATTGTGATACCATCTAGGAACATTTTTCTCATATTTGTTATCACTTAATTTTGTTCATGCGAATTTTTGAAATAGGCAAGTCTTGAAATTTGGTTAATCAAATTATCAGACTTTTCTATTGTTGTATCTTCAATTGCATTTTATTTTAGCCCTTCCCTATCCAGAGAGAAGATAAATATTTCTTTTTAGTTTTATAAAACATTTGATTTTGTAATAATTAAACTCTAAACTATGTGGATTTTATTTTACCATGTCATATATAAGGTTCTATATTGATTAGGCTATGTATGTTTTCCAAATAATTAATCAACTGGCTTAGTACCATGTATTCAATTGTGCCACTCCCTAAGGTCCCTTTGTCTTTGTCTCTTAATTCCATCAATACTGTGTGGGAAAGGTAAACATGCTGTACCTCACAGGCAGAACAGTGGAATAGAGTTGATCTTTCAGCCTCTTCTAGAACAATCCTTATTCTTTGTTGTGAATGGTTTCCTAGGAGGCATATCTTGTATCCTACCCTCATGGCTGGCATGCACAATCTTTCATGTGACTCAATGATGTCATTTCTTTCATTCCTTCTTTTAAGCTATCATATCTCAATAATTCGTATTTCTTTTGGCAGAATATTTCATTTAGGGTGAGTTACTCAGCAAGATTGGGAAAGATGATTGATGTTTTACTCCTAGGGAATTTAATTTCTTTTTACTCATCATAAACAGCCATGATAGGAAGGGGCTAGGAAGCAACTTCCTGCGTCTGTGAACACAGAGCCAGACATTTTATCACTTCAAGCTGTGAGGCGGAGCACTCCCAATTCCAGCCAGCTCTGATGAGCTGTAGTTTAAAACTCTTGGTTATTTCCAAAGGAAAACCCAAATTCATTGAAAAGATATTTTAAGGCTTCTTTGTGAAGCTTTATTATTTCCTCTGGATAGCAAAAAAAGGAAAAAAAAAAAGTCTCATGAACTGACATCTGAGCTTTCAGGTAGTCCTGGGACATGGGGAAGTTGAAAAGGCACCACCTGGGATAAACTTTGACCGTCTGTGTGACCACACAGAATTGATTCTGAAAATTGATACATTAGTCCAAATAAAGTCTATATCCAGATATTCACCCATCTCTTCTTTGAGACTGAACTTGCAAGGCAGTATTTCAAAAGATATGAAACTAATTCCAGATGTTTTGCTTTTAGGATTTCAAGCAAAAGACACATTGAAAAATGTTTTCATTCACACAGACATGGTTACACCCTGAACCTTATAACCAAAAACTCTTTAACACCTTCCAAAAAGAGGTAAAAATGTACCGGAAAAACAATTTGAACTTTAGGCTGTCCTTTTTTTTAAAGGTAAATAATATTTAGGTTAAAAATTTGAATGTTAAATGCAGCCCCATTTTATCCTTCTGGTTGCATTATGTATTGTAATTCCTGTGTCTAGGAATATGTTCTGCGGGTAAGCCCCAGTACAGCTGTGTCAGGGACATGTAGCAGGGGTCTCTTCTGATTGCTTAGGGCCTTTGTTCTATGAGTTGTTAAATATATTCAATATCACTCCTGCCTACACTTCTGGAAAAATCAGAGAAAGGGTGTGTTCATAAACAAAACCATGATTCTTTCTACATAATATAAATTATATCACATGAGATCCATGTAATAGAGGAATAAATATACTTATCATGATACCTGTGCTGTTTTTTTCCATTTTGAGACTCTATTAATACTCTATTAACTTAATAATCTATTAATACTGTATTAACTGTTAATAATTAACTCTTTTTGTGAAGGTAAAACTTAATGTTTATGATTAGGTTTTTTTATTTAAAAAAATAAAAGAATGATAGCTAAAATTTTCATGCATTATTTCTATATTTTGAAAAATGTATTTAATTCACTAAACAAAATCAATGTTTGAAGTATATAGCACTTATTAACAGATTTTAAAATGCAAATTTACTTATTTAACCCAAATCTCCCTAGAATCAATGTTGTCCTAAAATATGACATCCATTTTTGCCCTTTTTTTCCCATCAGAGATCCACCCATATTTTAAGAAAGCCACATCTATTATCAGCAAAAAGAGAAATGGAGCCAATTTTTAAAGTGTAACAGTCGTCAGATAATGGATGTGAATAAAGAGAATTACCTTTTTGCTCCCTACCCACACTTTAAAATTCTGTACAGTAAACGTATCAGGTATCCTTCCATTCTTAGCAATACTTGTCTTTAAGCAGAAACTTGAAAAATAGGCCAACTATATTGTCAAAGACATATGTCTGATTCCTCTGCAGTTGACCAAAAATTTGAAGACTTTCAAAAGTAGGACATTCAATCCACTTTTAGATTGAATCAGTACGTTTTGTAACTTTCTTTAGAACATCCTAAAAATGAATTAAAACCAAAATCTAACATGCCCAAGTTCTCTTGAGTCACTGAAATTTGATTTTGAGCAATCCTTAGCTGCTCCCCAAATGGACAGCTCCTCTTTATCTCAGAGCCTGGAAATAAAGTTAAATCCACAATGAATATTCTGACACCACAAAAATGGCAAGTGGACAAACCTACAAAAAATAACGTTCCCGTATTATTGTTAATTTTATTAAAGCTAATTTTCAAAATAATTTCAGGAAGACGTTAGTATCACACAGGCTAAATCGCAAGTCCCTCCTTCTGTGTGGCTGCTGCTGCTGTGAGTTTTTCTAAATCAGTATAGGCTTTCCCTAACCCATCCCCAAAACATGCCAGATTTGGCGCTATGGCATTGCCCTTAGCACGTTAGCATTCTCTCCCCATTGAGCACCATCAACTACATACTTGGCCACGATGTCCCAGAAAAATGGTAAAGTGAATTCTCTCAACCAGACATCCTGCTCAAGGTATAGTCCATCCTGGGTTCTTACAGGAGAGGATATCTCAAAATGAAGAAAAAATAATACATCTTTTATAGGGCAGGAGGGAAATGTGCTTATTTCTGGTATATATAGTAAACATTTAAAACATATTTGCCAAATGAAGAGAGGGACAAGAACTGTGGAAGGAAGAAGCAATGGAGTTTTGCAGCAAAAGGCAGGGTTAGCAAGGCGCAGAGAAAAAGAGCTAAGAAAGAAAATCACTGCCAGGGTGTTGTCCAAGCACCAGCCAGAACTGCGGCAGCCTGCTGCACCATCGCCGCCAACTTCCTCGCCCTCCAGGCCCTGTGACTCCAGTACACATTAATAGATGTTCATAATAGCAAGTGTAGGAGAGCAAGGAAAGGTCAGTGGTATCTTTCTTAAAACGTTGTACATAAAACAGTTCAATCAAAATTGGGCTGTAACTGGTTAAATACTACATTTGGGGAATTATCAGAATATTTCATTTTGCAGTAAGTCCAGACGACAGACTTTTGTTTTAGAAGAAGACACAAGGAAAGGATTTCCATCGTGGATTTCTGCATGGGAATTTTAGGGTTTTTGGCAGAGACATGTTGAGTAGCAGGGCTTTTCTGATGCCCTTTAAAAACCTACCTGTAGAGAAGCAGCTATTTGCTCATTAGTCCAATCTTGGTGCGTCTTTGGATTGTGGATTAGGCAAAAGAGCAATTACAGGTCTAGAAAGAATTATGCAGCTAAATGATTTCCTTATTTTTGGCAGCACATATTGTACATATATTTTTGTCATCATCTTAACAGAACATTGGTCTGTACTTGAGTAAGAACGCAGAACAGAAACTTTGCTCTATTTATGTGGAGAGTAGAATATTTGCCGTTTTTCCTTGTTGAAAAATCGTTCAAAACAAATTGTTATTGCAAAAAAAATAAAAATTGATATAATGCAATTCCAAGGCAGTCAACACAGCAATAGGTAGGCATTTCTGCTATAATGTGTCAAGTATCTTGAAAAACTTCATATTTTGCAAAACATGCACTAAGCAACAGGACTCAGAGAAAATAGAGGACAGGCTATTCAAAAACCTTTGTAACTATAGCCGCAGCCCTAACAGAAAGAATTATTGGCACCTGGAAAGATAATGTGGCTCCTCCACCAGAGACTCCCATGGCTGGAGGTTGCCACGGCAGGTATTTAAAATTCTCCTAAATGCCAAACTCATGGAAGTAGAGAGTAGGATTGTGGGGTAGAGAGTAGAGAGTAGGGAGTAGGGGTACGGGATGGAGAGGAAATGACATGGTGGTCACAGGGTATGGAGTTTCAGTTAGGCAGGAGGAATTAGTTTTTGAGATTATTGCATGGTGGGGTGACCACAGTTACTCAGATATGTAGTTCAAAATTGCTGAAAATATGTTTCAAATGTCTCACTACAAAAACGATTGATAAGTGAGGTGATGGATATGTTAATTAGCTTGATGTAATCATTTTGCGCTGTGCGTTTACGTCAAAACATCACAATGTACCCCATAAATATATTCAATTATGAAATAAGAAATAAACATAAAAAATAATGAATGGAAAAAAAAATAAGATACAGTTTTAACAAATTTTCAGAAGTGGTAGAGGTTGTATGCTGGCAGCCCTTTTGCTGGAGCAGGGCAGGTGAGAACTTAGTGCAGGTGGAGTGGGGCTGCTCTTAAGGTGGGAGTCCAGCTCTCTCATGCGAGGGAGTGCAGTGTAGCAAGGGTGGGCCCAACTGTCTCCTCTAGGGCAAGGTCTGTGTCTAGGTGTTCATCTTTAATTTTCTTATGATAAAGCTGAGAGGGGTCCTCCTGCCAGTACAACCCCAAAGCTGAGAGGGTCCCCCTTCCCACTGAAGGTTATACTTCTGTTCCTACTATTCCTGGGAAAAATCTTGCCTAAATTACATTTATATATCAGTCCCCTGTTTATCAATAGTGTATGAGCTAAGTTGCAGCACAGAAGCACATGAGGTGGCTGAACAGACTGTCGATTAAAACAACTTTTCCCGATTATAAACGTAATTTGCCCTTGTAAGGAATTTGGCAAATATGGAAAGATACACAAAATAAAACTGATGTCAGCTTATAAGAAATAACTACCATTAAAAGAAACTATGATGTGTCTCCTTGTGGCCTTTTGTCTATACATATCTGTTATAAAATTGAGTTATACTCTGGGTGCAAAATTGTATCCTTTCTGTTTATATTCTACATAGTTTTCCATTTTATTATATAGAAGTCAAACATTTGAACTATAATTTATTTAATAAAACCTTTACCTTTGAATAATGAGGTTGTTTTAAATTGTGGTAATAAACATCCTGTATCTTTGATTAATTCCTTAGACTGGGTTGCTAAGGAGGAAATTACTGGGTCAATGGGTATAGACATTACTTTTAAAAAGTAATCAGATGATGGGAAACTTTTATTTTGTGTGGTTTCTAACCATAAGGATTTTAATACAAGAAGAAAAATAGCCAATAGTAACCTTGGTGTTGTGGCTCTTCTTTACTGTGGGCATTTCGTTTATTCAAACTATAGTGTGTTAACGAGTATCTTTTGCTCACAACCGTAAACACCTATTTGGTAAGTAGCTCACATTCAACACATCCTTGACAATGGGCAGATCTGATATGTGGAGTGCCTGTATCATGTGTACAGGTTAAACCAAGTATCAGAAAATGGATGTCCTTCTCGCCCATTCAACTCAAGTCCCCTGTATATAATCTTGCTGCCCTTCTCCTCACCTGTCCTCATGTCTGTCTTATCCCCGGCATCATGACTCTGTCTCACAGTGATTCCACTTTAAAGTCTAAACCCATCCCTAGTTCAAGCCACTCGATGACATCCAAACCTCCTATGGGACTTCTGAGGCAATGGGGTGGAGAGAGGAAGCGTAGTCCTCTGGGACATGCCCTTCCAATTCTGAGGTCCTTTGTGAATAATTATGTGCAGAATGGTTAAGAGTCCAGTCTTTAGAATAAGAAATGTCTGGATCTGAGTCCTGGCTCTCCCTTCTTGAGCAATAAATGCTTGGTGTCAGGAGTTCATGGTGACTATGGTGTCCGTAGCAACAGCAACAGCAATTGGGCACATTCAGTTGATCTTGATTGGTTTTAAAGGTTAGTATGTAACTTGGCCTATTTTTGAGAGGGAAAGTAAAGACACAATTTAGCTGGGTCACATCTCAAATGTAATGAAAATAAACTAATATTCAATACAGAGGATTTCTTTCCATTGCAGTTTCTAAGGAAACTGAACGAATCGGAGTTCTGAAGAAACTGCTTCTGTCAAACTTTTGGATATTTATGAGGGAAACCAAGTGCGTCTAATAAAATAGAGGCAGATGTGTGTCCTAAAGATCTATCCAGTAACTATTAAACCAGTGTCATGGGAAGAGACTTCATTGAAGACAAGAAAGGACTACTTCCAGTTCTCTGATTTTTTTTTTTTTTTAATATTATTAACACTGGCCCAGAAGCTGACTTTGTCTCTCTCTTTTCAGCCGGCATACATCCCAAAGAAGCTAATCCCAATAACGATCATCAAGCAAGGTAATTTGCTCTCGATATGTGCTTAGAACTATTTTTATTATACTTTTTAACTAATATAAATAAACATGGCACATATTTTCTCAAATTTTCGGACTGCTTTTCAGAAAAAGTTATTGCTAATTGTTGTTTTTCAGAAAAAGAAAACAGTACGGTCTAGTACATTAGATGTCAGTAGGTAATTTTGAGTCTTGTACCAATATGCCAAACTTTGGGCAAGTCACATTGGTCAGACGAGGGTCAAAGCAACCACAACAAGTATTAAATATTAACAAGTCAGCAAAATATGTGGAGCTTTGCTTGGGATTAAGTTATACGTGAAGTAAGCCAGTAATAGGATATTTGCAATAATGAAAATGAAAACTGTGATTTAGTGGTCATTTTAGGGGAAGTGAAGATGTCCTTCCAGGTTTCAATAATTATAATGTCTTATTTCAGTATCCAGTTGTTTTTGTTGGGGCTCCAGCTTTTCAAATTATTATAATATCTCCATTATTTCCAGAAAGTTTTTTTGGTGGAAGAGATGAGACGCTTAAAATAGTTCTTAATTTGAAGAGACTATAATGTCCCACTTATACTGTCAAAACAAAGTCAGGTAGTATTGAAAATTACCCAAAGATTCTTTGCTTTGAGAATATATGTTTTCTAATTTTTTATTACTGGGTTATTGTCTCATTTTATGCTAGTTCTGATTAATTTGGGGAAAGAGCAGGCTGCAGGGAATGGAGAGAGGAAGGAAATTGTTTGATAATTATAATGGAACACTTTAGTATAGAACAATAGCCTTTCATTACTTAAAGGAACAGGTACTAAGGTAAGATGTGTCTTCTAGTCCTTCTGTTGGCTGCACAGCCAACCCACAGAGTTGCTTTTTATTAATTGATAAAGTTAAATCAGGACTTTCTCTGTGCAGATGGCTTCACATTATTAGCTTTTTACTGCTTCCTATTTTTTTTTCCTTATCACACTGTTTTTTTGATTTCAACAGTGATTCAGAATGTTACTCACAAGGCTTCAACTAAATCCCCAGATAAGACTCCCTTTGGAGGAGCAATACTAGGTGAGTCAATCTTGAAATCCATGTCTAGATTAAGCGAATCAGGCTGTCTTTTGATGACAGGGCCTTTGTGGAGTTTCACACTGTTAGCAGGTCTGTTAAATTGATGTTGGTTCATTTCCTTTCACTGTTTAGCATCTGGCTTGTGTCCATGACAGGCAAGAAGCCAAGCAATGCTACATTTATCAGAGTGTGTTAAAGAAATAGCTCCAGCCCATGCCCAGTGGGGATGATGGCACCCGTCCTACCTGCCCACAGGATTGTCTGCAGTAATGAGAGTCTTTCTCATATTGAACTACTCTTTTAAAAATCATTGTTATTGGTAATGATGTTCTTTGTTCAGCACACATCCTAAGCAGCCATTTTATAATTTTTGAGTCTGTGGATTAAAAGTCAGAAGATTTAGTAGTTCAGTTCTAAATATTAAAAAATACTCTATTTTGAAAATATGGTCATATATTTTCCAACATTTTAAAGTCTGGGTTAAAACTGACCAAACAAAATAAGGGTGATGCCTCATAGTTTCTAGTATCTGATGTTCCAAGCTTCATTTTCTGTCATGATGCATTTTCTTCCCCTTGTCTTATTTACATCTGTTTCCTTGCAGTCCACCTTATTGTTCCCGGTCTTAACGAAACCACTGTAAAACTTCCTACATCGATAATGTTTGAGATTTCGGATGCTCTCAAGGCACAATTAGGTAAGCAGAAAAGTCCTATATTCGGACTTTGCATGACTGAGCACTGATGTTCTTAGCATGTCCAAGGAATCTTTCAAATAAGCCGTTTGAGGATCTCAAAGTAAAAAAGTAGAGGCAAGGAGGTTGGAGTTATCCATATAAATCACATTCTATAGGGCAATAGTTATTTTATATTTGCATAAAATATATTTTATATTTATATAAAATGTAAATATAAAAATATGTTTACATGCATAAAAGAAGCATGAACATTTATTAGCCAAACAATAGACATATATAGGTATAATTTCCAAATAGAGTAATTGTTCTAAATTGTACTTATTATACTATTAAGAGGTCATTAGATATTTTCAGTGAAAATTGATGTGAAGGTCAGGTCCATCAGAGTTGTTTATTTGAGGCTGATATTGCTTTTTGCTTCTAGAAAGAACTGGGTATGATTTCAGTGTTTAAAAAACATAAAACACAGTAATAATATTAATAAAGCAAAATCCACATAAAAGGGGCCCAGGGAGTAATTGTGGTGGTCATTGGGCTGAGTTAGTTGCTGCATCTCACTATCAAATTAGGCTCTGAATTGTCTCTGTCCCAGAGGATCTCCAGCTTGATCAAGGGTCAGAAGCACCCGGAGAGCTTGTGCACACACAGACTGCCAGGACCCGCCCCCAGAGTTACTGATTCAGTAGGCCTGGGGCAGGGCTTGATCATTTGCATTTCTGACAAGTTTCTAGGTGACAATGACACTGCTGGTCCAGGGACCACACTTTGAGAACCACCCGTCTAATGTCTCTGGAGAATGTCTTGGACTGTTGCTAAATATGGAAGGAAATAGCATGGAATGGTGGAAATTGAACAAGACTTTAAAATGCAGAATGTTTTCCCTGAGCTAGGCACCGGCTAAGAACTTTAGCATTTAGTATGTGATTGAATCGTCACATTGTGTGGATGAAGTAGAGAGGCCCAAGCCCCTGTTCGGCAACATACATTCAACAAACACTTACTAAGCATGCCAGAGCTGCTAGTTGCTGGGGACCGTCATGGTGACTTACCCAGACATTGTACAAGACGATTAATTCTTCCTCCCTTATTGGAGGCCCAACCTGGCCCCTTAGGAGTAGTTACTTCCTCTTTTTTAGTTGAGAGAGAGAGAAAGAGAGGAGAAATGACAAATAAGATGTATCACAAAGATTTTTTTAATTCAATAAAATACTGTAAAAGATGACAACAGGCTGGGGTCCTAAGTAGACAGACCCTTGCATTAGGCCAGGGCCTGCCTTGACCTCCCTGCTGTAAAGAGCCACGTGCACCGGCAGTCCCAATGTTGTTCGTGACAAGTAGCTGCTGGTAAAGCACAGATTCAGTAACCCATTTCCACTGTCCCCTTCCCCTCACTGGTAATTTGTTGAAAGAAAAAAAGCATCAAATCTAATGAGTTATCAAATTTTAATGTGTCTTTATTTTCTTTTTTCCAATTTTCTTCTTTGGGGAGTTGGGCCATATGGACAAGTTCAGAAGTTATGTTCACACAATGTCAAGCTACTTAATTTTTAAAAAACTGAAAAGAAATTGCTGTCTTTCCATTTGTTTTTCAAATATTCAGACACTTAGCTTTGCATAAACAGGGATCTGGATTTGCAAGTTTTTTCATTTTTTTGCTTGTTTGATGTGAGACAATCAGATTGCAAATGTTTTAAATGGTGAAATCTCAAGTTCTCCTTAGGTGTTAATTTTGAGAACCTCCTGGAAGAAGGAAGAGGAAAGCTTTATTAATAGGTAGAAGGACACTTAATTGGGGACTATTATTAGACTTACAATTTTAGAAAAATTTTCAAAACTTACAGGTTATCATCTTAATAAGATGTGAAAATGTTTGCCAATATATCTTGGTGACTTTGCACAATCCTCATATTTTTACTTTAAAATATTTATACCTGTTAGTCCTGGAGTGAGTTACCTCCAAGAAAATAGATAAATGACTCTGGATTTCATTTTCTTAATTTGTAAATCAGACTTGATCACCTCCCTTTTAGTTATAAAATCCTGTTATTCCACCTTACACATGTAAATATGGTGTAGCCAGAAAGCTCCCAAATTCCTTCAGTGAAACTGTGGTTGGAAGGGTCAAAGCTCAGAACTCTTGTGCTCACCTAGAGTTTGGGGAGAAGATTGGCAATTAGTAGAGATGTTTCCCAGACCACTGCTGTCAGTTTTGAACTGGAAAATGTGATGTTCTCTATTCCTTAGTCCTTAGCTGTAAGTGATATTTCCTAATCTTTTAAAAATTTTTTTCACAATTCCACGTGCTACCTTAATACCAATTCAACCTTTTTGCTTTCTTTAATTTAGGGAATTATAGTAGGTTTTTGTTTTGTTGTGTTTTGGTTTTGCTTTTGTTTTTCTCATATGATTCACTAAAGTTTCAGGACCGAGTATGATTTTAATAAGGAAAAAATAAATGCAAATGGTAAATACACAAATAGTAAAAACTATGCAAATAGTAAATATGTTTGATAATTTGGCTTTATGGGGAAACAACTATCTTAAATTTAACACATGGCAGTTTCTTGCACACTGAAGAGATTGATAGCCAGTATATTTGAAAATGTCTGGTAAATCCAAGGAAAACCCTACCTATCAAATATGTCATCTTAACAGACCATGTTTCCAAAAAACTACATTTAAAATTTTTTTAAAAATTTTTTATTGCATATACTTAAGGTATACAGCATGATGTTTTGATATACATAGTGAAAGTTACTATAGTTAAGCAAATTAACATATCCATCCTCTCATATAGTTACACTTTGTGTGCATGTGATAAGAGCACCAAAAATCTACTCTCAACAAATTTCCAATATACAATACAATATACAATATTATAACTCATGTTGTACCTTAGATTTCTAGATTTATTCATCTTTCACATATGTAACTTTGTAACCTTTTTCCTACATTTCCCTATTTTCTACCTCCAACCCGCTCCTCCACCTTATAGCCATTGTTTTATTCTCTATGTATTTGACTTTTTGTTTTTTTAGATTTCACATATAAGTGAGATAATTTTTCTTTCTGTGCCTAGCTTATTTGACTTAGCATAATGTCCTTTAGGTTCATGGAAATGGCAGGATCTCCTTTTGTAAGGCTGAGTAATATTCCTGTGTGTGTATATTCCACAACTTCTTTATTCATTGATCAACATTTAAGTTGTTTCTGTATCTTGGTTGTTGTGAATAATTCTACAATGAATGTGGGAGTTAACATAACCTATGAGGTGCTCATTTCATTTCTTTTTGGTATATATCCAAAAGAGGGATTGCTGGGTCTTATTGTGGTTCTACTTTTAATTTTTTGAGAAACCTCCATACTGTTTTCCATAATGGCTGACTAATTTACATTCCCACCAGTAGTGTACAAGAATTCCCTTTTCTCCATGCCTTTACCAATACTCATTACCTCTTGCCTTTTTGATAATAGCCATCCTAATAGGAGTGAGGTGGTATCTCATTGTGGTTTTAATTTTGCATTTCCCTGATAATTAGTGATCTCAAGTACCTTGTCATATACCTGTTAGCCATGTCATCTTTGCAGAAATGTCTATTCAGGTCCTTTGCCCATTTTTTAATCAGGTTATTTGGGTTGGGGGATTTTTTGATCTTTTTTTTTTTTCTATTGAATTGCATGAGTTCCTTATATATTTTGAATATGAAGCCCTTATCAGATATATGGTTTGCAAATACTTTTTGTCAATCCCTAGGCTGTCTTTTCATTTTGTTGATTGTTTCCTATGCTGTGCAAAAGCACTATTTGTCACGAAAAGAGTGTGGGCATAAATAGTCCTTTATACTATCAAGCGAGAAATAAACTTTCCTGAAGTTAATTATCACTACAATTCAGAAAAGTATTTTTTGAGGTAATAAATCCTGAAAATAACATCCCCATTCCAGCAAAGCCCATCACGGGGCATCAAGAAATGTTAATAGCTTTTGTTCTAAGAACAAATGATGTAAATAATGGAGAAATAAACAAGAAAGTTAGTATTACACACACGTCTCCAAGGGACATACAAAGGGTTTGCCAAAGTCAAGACCTAACGTGCCAGAAATTAAAGGAAACAACTGTGTTGAAAAAAGGTACAGAAGAATAAAGAGGAAAAGGGATTTCCTGGATTTTAGGCCATGTTCTGATGGCATTTTACTTTCCTATTGTCAAGCCTGCAGTTGTGCACATAATGTAGATGGATGCTCATGAGTTGATACAAGGTATCAAGAGTCCCCCATTCAAATATCTTTTCCATCTACCAATTTCTTTGATGTCTAAAATGTCATACTTGGAAATATAACATGCCTTTATAAAAAATTAGTGATATATAAATAATACAAATATCTGTTAGAAAGGTAGTTTGCCACTTTTCTTCATTAACAGCCTAAAATAGGTTAATGTGACTGCCAACTAAAAGCATGTTTTGAATATAAAAGAAGCTTAAGATTTTCAGAGCATTGCCTGTGAAAGTCTAGGATCTGGAGGTAAAAAAAAAAAAAAAAAAAAGTCCTAGATCAGCCAGAGATCACTGAGAACATAGATTATTAACAGGGAAGGAACCCTGAAAGAAGAGGATACTGCACAAAAAAATCATTAAAAGAAAACATTATCATTTTATATACTTTTTTAAAAAAAGTACCTATAGTACATGCTAAAAATAACAGGGCCAGAGCTCATAAGAAATTCATAATCTGAATGTTTTTTGCCATGCTAACAATCAGAATAGTTCTAAACAAGCGATGTAAGGAAAAAATATTGATAAAATGTAGAAATTTTAAAAATACAATTTATCATAAAATTATGCTGGATTTCTTTTTTTAGTTATTACAGAAAGAATTCCTTTTTATGCCTCACTAAATTAATTTTAACAATGACGTTAAACATTTCTGTTGTGCAAACATGCTTGCAACTTCTGAAACACACACTTGACAATTGGTAGCAAGTACACTAGCATTTGTGACACCTATTTCCAGCATTTTAAATCCCTCCTGCAAATAATCAGCTCTTTGTAGGAATCTGTTGGTCACCTTAATCAAGCGGAAATTGAAAACTGATTTGCTTCTATGAACATTGTGGAAAAGATGACTTTACATCCCTCAGAACTAAATAAATATTTTGTGCCTACGTTAACTGAAAAGCAGAAAATGGTCTTTACAAGAGTAAAGTAAACTACAGAAGACTATAAAATTTGCATGTTCAAGGAACTTTGAGAGAAACAATTATATCAGTAGTTCTCAACAGGGGGCAATTTTGTCCCGCAGGAAATATTTGGCAATGTCTGGAGATATTTTGTTTGTCACAATTGTGGGAGCACTATTGGAATACAATGAGTAGAGGACAGAAATGCTACTAACCACCCTTCAGTAGAAAGGACAGCCCCCCACAAAAAATTATCCAGCTTTAAGTGTCAATAGTGTCAAGGTTGAGAAATTCAAGTTCTATATAGCCTTAAAATTCTAAAAAATCCTGTCCGATTATATAATCAGCTCAAGTGGCATGAGCCAGGGTATCTCAAAGGTACATGAATTCTTTCATGCCACTAGACTATTGCAAAACATTACAAGCAGGTCACTGATTCAATGTGCTAACTAAATAGAGTTAATCCTAACTCTACATTTTTTTAATGGGGAATATCATAATCACTGGGAAACTCTAGTTTAAAAATGTACTTTCTTTTAAAAAGAATATCTAAATTTTAGAATGAAGTTTCCCAAATAATTCCAAAAAGAGGAAAAAAATGAAAAAAATATTCCGTTCCTTACACTGAATTCCCACAGAGACCAAAAGAGAAGATCTATGTTAACATGTGGCTCAAATAAAATTTACTGATTGTTGGTAATCTTTTTGCCATAAATATTTTTGGATAACTTAGTTTTCTATATGCGTTATTTGTGTTTTCCTAATATTTCTGTGTCATACCCTATTGCATTTTTACCATGCATAATAATGGAAATTTTCTATTCATTGATTTTAAAAAATAGCAGTACTTGAATATAAAATGCCAGGGAGCATTCACAGTACAACCTGTGCCTTCCAGAAATTCTATTTATGAATCAAAATGGCTTGGGATTATTCAAGTATTGGGTTATAATTTTTTCTTCATTCCAATGCCAATTTAGATCTTAAAAAATTAGCTAAGGTTAATAAAGAATTCTGAAGACTGTCATAAACTAGTCCCTGCTATTAATAGAAATGCACAATAAACTTGTTGACTGGCTGATGGGAAGGGATGTGAATAGATTAGATTTTTTTAGTCTGTTAGTTGATTATGTTTTGAATGAGGTATTTTTGGACACTGTATTAGGATGAAGTGAGGTAAATTGTTTGTTCTCTGACTTTTTAGCTAAGAATGAAACCTTGGCATTACCTGCTGAATCTAAAACACCAGAGGTTGAAAAAATCCCAGCACAGCCCATAACAGGTAATGAGATCACTATGTTGTTGACTTTGAGGAAAGAAAGAACATATTTTTTCAAATAGTAAATGATTTACAGCCTATATGTTTTTTCAGTGAAGAGCAAGTAGGAAATTCATTTTGATCATAAGTACAAAACAGTAGAAAGTTCTACATCTTTAATGTTTAGGAAAACAACAGATGCAAAATGAACTATTGAATCACATAGCTGATATGTAATATGGAAGCTGTATCTTTCACTCTAAATGAAAGTTGTTACCTCAACACTCTGAAATATTTTTATGCTAGAATGTAATGCCATGATTTTGGTGATTTTGGTGACATGAGACCATTTTTCACTTCTTTACTTTCACAAGTGGTCAATATAGCAAAATGTTATATATCCCTCACAAATCCATAGCTTGATATCTATGAAAATAACTTGGAATCGTTTAGAAATAAATGTCTCTGGAACACTAACAATCCTAATAGAGAGAATGTATAATAGTTCAGTAAAAATGCTTTAAAGAATACAGTAAGCATTTTCCCTATAGTTTATCACCATTACTAACATTCAGCATGTCTTCTCTGAATGAGCCACTCAAGTCCAGTCCCCAGGGGAGACATTAATCTCTGAGCTACAGAGTTTCTGCCAGAGCAATACCACCTTATCCAGGACTTGACGAAACAAATGTCTGGCAAGAATTCCCCCCAATGCACATTTAACAAAGTGACTCTAATCTAAAGTGATTTTTTTAATTTATAAAATTGCCATAACTTGAAATGTCGCTGATGTTTACTTTGTACTAAACTTTGGGCTTGTAGCTGGTCCAGAGAAGGTAAAAATTTGTGGAACAGTAAAATAATGTCAAGAAACCCATTCGAGTAGGAACATTTCCAACAGAGCAAGATGAGTATAGTCTTGTCTGAAAAAGAGGGTGAGGACCTTTCATCCCCATTTTCATGCACGTGGGGGCAGAGGTAGCTACTAAAATAATCCATTTGCATGAAATCCCTAGGTGGTTTCTGATTTCAATATACTTGATCAATACCAAGAAAAGGATAGGCATGGCCCGGTGGATAACTTCAAGTCCTTTTCTGCCTCAAAGAATCTACCCATTTTTCCCAATTATACTTTCTTCTCTTGGCACAGGGTCTGATGGGAGAGTCTACAGATTTCTTGGTTCTCTGTCAAACCCTCCTCTGAATTTTCCACTTCGGCAAACACCACAACTTATTATTCAGTGTTATTGTGTTTATTGCATGTCCTTACCCTGCAAAATTCTGGGGTTTTCTAGCTCACAATTCATTCCAGATCTCAGTGACCCTGGGTCTTATTTCTCCAAAACTATTTCCTTGAGGTTTTCATTGCCTTTAATCTAGCACTTAGGACAACACTGTGGCTGAGCACTTGAATTCTGATCATAATTTCAACTCATATTCAAGCTTTGCATATTGAGTGCAGTTTGAGAGAGAAATCTTAAAATGTAATATTCTAAGTAAACCTTTTAGCCCTGGATCATTCTTTTATTTGCCCATTTATTAATTCATTTAATAAACTATTATCAGGTACTTGGTTACTCTACCACAGGCATTCTGCTAAGCCCTGGAGATAAATATAAAGGCAAACAAAAAATTATGATTAACCTGATAAGTGTCTTATGGAGGTTGGAGTCTATAGAAAGTGGACCAGACCCAGAAAGGAAGGATTGTGGAGGAATGTCAGCTCAGGCACCTGGGACAAGCCAGAAAGTCCTTAACATTAGTAACTTGAAAAGAAATGGGCTACAAAAATACCAGTTACTAATTCTAAAGGACAACAAAATGTGTCTTAGTCTTTGGTTGCTTCATAATTTTATCTTAATTTACAAAGTTGTCTGTTTTACCTTTCAGTGACTCCTGAAACAGTTCCAAGAACCACTAAACCCACTGTGTCTAGTGCATTAGATGTTTCAGAAACAACACTGGGTAATTCTAAGAACGATTTTTTTCTTTAAAAAACAAAACAAAAACAGCAACAAACAAACTCCCAACGCTCATGGAAAAGAAAAGTAATCCTAATGTCTTAGCTTCTCTCTCTCTCCTCTCCCTCCCCCTTTCTCCTTTTCCTTCCCCCTGAAAGTGGTTAACCTTCCTATTTCTTGGACCAAATCCATTGATGAATTAACAACATGCCTGATCCTGGTGATTTGATATTCCAGGCAGATCTGGATGCTGGATGCTCACTGCATGCCCTTTTTAATCAGTCTCCCGAGTTATGTATACAGAATACCAGCCTTTTAAACCCCAAATCTTGGAGGGGTGGAGGAAACCTGGAAGTCTTGACTCTATCTTTGCTTTCTGCTCAGATTGGCTTTTGGAAGTCTTGCGCTTACTAAACTTGGGGAAAATCCCCCAAAGTGTCACGCTTTTAAATAAGAATTGCATATCACTCACATTAGCTGTTTCTTGGCACAAAAGAATCTAACTTGCTTTGTTGTTCTCTTCCCTTGATGAAGAGCAGCAGCATGTATTTTGGTCTGAACTTTGATGCTGATCGTCCCTGCTATACCACAGCCCCTTGAATGTATACCTTTGAATTTTAACAGCTATGTAACTTTTCCAGGGAAAGCCAGCTATTTCCATGAAAGGCATCCACTGCTTGGTGCACACACGAGTCTCTGTTACGAAGCACACTGTGCATGATCCTGGTTAAGCCATAACATCCAATCCTGAGTCAAGGAGTGCTAATCACATTCTTCTTTATTGTAGTTCTCAGCAAAAGGATCCCGGAAATGTCACATACTGTTCTTATACCTCAGTTTGAATTGCCACTGAGCACTCTAGGTAAAAATTATTAAATGCTACAGATTTATTATTACCTTGGAAATTTTATGCATGCTTCAAAGAAGTCCTTAGACCACATTCAAATTCATCTCCTCATTAAAGAAAAAGGAACAAATGGCTTATAGAACAATAAGATGACAAATACCCAACCCCTTAAATGTGAATAGTCTTTAAATTTAGGATGCTAAAGAAGCTCTCTCTGTGATAAATCTTCGGTGGCTTTTCTTTTTAGAAAATTGATGTTTTCTATATTTTTTTCTGAATGTTTTTTACTCAATTGTCTCAGCAAGAGAAGCCATATTTCTGAAGACTGCTTCTTAGAATTCTTAGAATTTCTTTGAGTGCAATATCAAAAAAATAGAGGGAGGAGCTTATACATAAAGCCATGGTTGAATTTAAATGAAATACATCTAAGAGCACACATAAACATAGCTGAAGAAATCAGGAAACTAGTTTAATATGGGTAAAAAGAAGAGCTCAAATACAGTAACTTAAATTTAGTGGCTTAATTATAAATAATTGCAAAAGAAATTTTATTATATTATCCAGCATTGAAACACGGAAGTAAGACATACTAACAGTCATACTTAACATGAAATAATTTGCCTGTTTGTGTTTGTTTTTTGTTTTTGCAAGCTTGAAATTTTTAAAATCTTTGTTCTGTTACTTGCACCCCAGGTAGTAACTTTCCTTGTGTGTTTCATTACAGCTCCAAAAAGGCTTCCAGACTTTCCTGAGGCAAAAACACCCTTTCCTTTTGAGAAACCTGAGGGCATCTTGGGTAACAAGAGTACCTTTAATTTGATATTAAGGATGTGCGTGGTGATTATTGCTTAATTCTGTGGGACACGTTTACTGAGTCCTATCTCTGCAAACCTCAATGAATTGATGAATTCAGTTAAATCAGGCAAACAGGTGGTTAATTTGGTTAAAAAAAAGGACCTGTTTGACTGGATTTTCTACAAATTCAATAAAAATCATCAGTCTTAATTCCACGTAACTCATTTAGTAGTTTTCTGTCCTTAAAAATGTTGACAGTATGACACCAAACTCTGGTGTCTCTCTCACCACTAATCAAATGCTCTCTGGATTGGTACATAATGATTTCTTCTCATTATATAATGGCTTGATTGTATCAGCATGTGCTTTTGATTTGCAGGCTTCTGATAGCTACTTAACCATACCAACAACCTATTTCGGTCCCTTTCTCTAAAAAAATTTTTCAGCAAATTCCATTTCTTTTCAATATAGTTTCAAGTGAAAAGCCATGGATTGTTCCTACAGCTAAAACATATGAAGATTCTAGAGTTCTGCAGCCTCAAACTGGTAATTGCATTCTTTTTAAAAAATAGATCGTAACAAGAGTACTGAATAACTTCTTGCTTTTATTTTTATAGGTTCCTTAATCGATTATCAATATACTTTGTAGTAAATGGAAAACGTAGAATACATTTTTGGTGCTTAGATGAACCTCATTTTTTTCCCCACTACAAAAGCAAAATGGTCTTGCATTTGTTTTACATATATGTTTTTAATTTCTGGATATAAGTCTGGCTGCAACATGAACTATGAAGTGGCTCATTGATTTCTAGAGATCTCTTTAGTGCCATGAGAGCAATAAGAAAAATAAGCAGTATTATGGGTTGGATTTTTAACAGTATGAGTTTAATATTTTCCTTGCAAGGAGATATTTGCTTTTTCTTCAGCAAAATAATTCAGTAAACATTTTAGAGCTTACTGTGTGCAATATATTATACCAAGTTCTAAAATTTGTAAGTGTATCATGATATAGAGGACAGAACACAGGTCTCTGAAGTTAATGATAGACCTTGGTTCCATTCCTGTCTCTCCTGCTAACCACATGACAGCTGTTTTTCTCTACTTTTCTGGGCCTTGGTATCTTCTTTTGTAAAATGTGGCAATTGGCTTTTTTTTCCTCTTGAGAATTCTTGTGTTCTACCAGTAAAACTGATTGAGACATCTTCCCTTTTTCAAAAAATAGATTTTTATCAACTAAAAATTTTTCTCCTGTATATCTTTGATGCCTAGTGGTAAATTAAAGAAGAGCATATTCAGCATATGAATTATAAGAAAACCTCAGAAACCCTCTTTTGCCATTTCTTCCATGATTTTCTCCTTTCATTTGTTTGTATTTTAATTTTTATGAACCTTCTGGTTGCTGTGACTTTATTTGGGGTACATATCATATAGTATACAATGTAGAAGTTCAGGTAATGAAGTTAAAATACACCAACATTTTGTGGTATTCTCCAGAGAGAGTGCAGCAGAGGACTGGGTTTGAGAAAGGATGAGAATGAGCCCTCAGACTCATAGATCTTAGTCAAAATATCCTTTGTCTACTAAGTGTAATGGGCTCAGATCTCAGCAAAAGATAGAGGATGACATTAAATTAAGTGAGCATGTCTATTATATTCTCCCCTAGTTTCCTTAAGCAGGAACGCACTTGAAAGTTGGCCATGGTTGTTGGCTTATCCAGAAAAGCCTCAAATTGGGTCTTCCTAAGCCTTAGTTTCTCATCACTAACCCTAAAATTCTAGTGCAATTAACTAAAGTGGGTGCAAAATCCCCTTTAGCAATCTAGGTCACCTGGGTCTAAAATCTGGGTTCTGGGTAGAGTTTCATACTGATTCCCTGGTGCCATTGGCCATCACACAGGTGCAGCTGCATTGTAATTAGTAAACAACAACTAGTCTGGGGGCACATGTGATGGTTTATCTGCTGCACCAGGGCAGGCCTGGCTGTGCCTCCTGCAACCCTCAAAAGAACCCAAACCAGACACTTTGGGGGCTTTTGGGACTAGATAAACTTTTAAGTCCCTTTCATCTCTTAGCCTTTGGGTTATAACATAGGGGACACAGGGTTGCCCGGGTTTCCCTTAAGAAGCATCTCATTTTTAGTTTCTATGATTATTCATGAGCAAACTGATCAAAACCACAAGGAAACCATTTTTGAAATTTGAATGCCTAGAATATGAATTATATGTAAAGCCTCGGCTGAACCAAGCATTGGGTAGAACATGTTGGGGAGTGTAGGCTGCAGAGTTACAATGACACAAAAATAAATGGGATAGAAAATCCCAATAAAGGAAAGGTTCCTTTTGCCTTTAATCCCAGAAAAGGAATATTCTGGTCTTGTCCTGATGGAGTATGAATAGCGTCCAATCAGGAAACAGATTCATTACTCAGCTGCTTCACTGCTGCCAGGGCAACTTTGGGTGGCCAGAGAACTTCCAACTGAGAACTTCCAACCCTCTCTGGCAAAAGTTGAGATTTGTCATGAGCTGCAGCAACAGTACAGTAGGTGATGATGCAGGCATGAACGTGAGCCCCAGAAACTTCCCAGCCTGCCTTATAACATTTAATTGTAATTAATATATCCCTGCTATTTAGTATGATCATTGGGCCAGCAGCATTGACATCACCTGGGAACTTGTTGGAAAGGCAGCACCTTGAGCTCCACTCTAGATCTATTGAACCAAGAGCTGCTTGCCATCAAGATCCCCAGGTGATCTGCATGAACATTAGGGTCTGAGAAGCACTTTATCAATATAGTCTTAGCAATGATGCAGGTAAGAATTATCAGGTGTGGTCAGTTATAGGACAGTAGCCCTCAAATCAATATAAGATTGATTTCTCAAAGTGGGTGACAAACATTCCTTGTTTCTGCTAATGTGCAATGCTTCCATCTACACCCTAGTGTAAGTGTCGTATGGCATCATCTTATATTAAAGTTCAAATTAAGATTTAACAACATGCATTATTTGTGATTTGAAGACTTGTATATTCACATAATCCTTCCAGACTTTGTTTCTTTTGTTTGATTTTGTGCAAATTTATACATGTACTAAAGTTCTCTACTTGCTATTTAGTTTCAGCATATGCAATTATTTATTTTCCAATTACTCAAATAACTTCCTGTTAAAACTGTTTTGAGAATTAAGAAAAGAGGCAGAGATACTGCTTGCATGCTGGTCCACAAAACCATTAGTCTCATTTTTGGTTGTTGTAGCCTTTGAAGAAACAACATATTTTAGCAGGAATTAATGATATTATTATAGCAAACTCAGTGCATCTTGTTTTCTCTGTTGGAACATGATGCATCTTTATTTACTGTGTCGATTTCCTTCAGCTAAAGGCCAGGAGAACACACTTGTAGATGAACAAAGTTAAGTTTATTTACTTGTTGTAACAATGGAGAACACAGACTATGAGGAACAAGGAAATCTAGAGGATGTTAGCAAAGACTTGTAGTATTTTGTTTGCGTTAAATGATTGAGGGAAGGGTCCAAGGAAGTGGAGCTTTGCTCTCGATTGGATGCAGTTAGAAAGTGGGAGTAATTCTGTGATTGAATGTCTTCATAATTCTTAACTAGAAAGCAGGACGAGCAGAATGAATCTTACAGAGTAACTGATAAAAGAAGTGGCTCTTACTCACATTAGCCAGGATGTGGCGAGCATCGTGTCGTGGCTTGGAGGATGTTCATGTGTTTGTGTTCCATGTGATTACAGATGGGTCTTGTTTTTGTCTTGATCCATCACAATCACAAAGTAGTCTTGTCCTATATTGGCATTCTTTGGAATGATTAATGTTCAACGGGAGAACACCACAGCCTGCCTGTGTGTGGGTGCCAGGCCGGCACTTGGATTTCAGGGGATGCTCTTCTCTTTATCAACCATTAAACACAATTTATCATGACCTTTTGTAAATTTTTTTCTGCTTTGGCATTTGTTTTTCACATATTCTGTATTAAAAAATCAGAATGCGTGTTCTCAAATATTTCTGTACCACTTTTGGATATAAAAGACTTTATGGAAATTCTAAGTTGCATGCTGAATATTGAAATCCCTGGGCCATTTCAACAGTTTTGGCAACAGTGAGACAGGATAATTTGGAGTTTGGAATATCTCAGGAAATCTGAGATGTGTGGTCGTCAAACATATTCTTTCCTGCTTTCAGTGTCTTTGCCCTAGTCTTTCGATAGTGCTGTATTTTGTGATTTTGTTAGTTGGAATTGTGTTTGTGTTAAACCTTCTATAAAGTATGTTTAAGTAGGGTTGATTGATTTTGATTCCCTTGGCAAATTTAATTTTCCTTAAAATTTATAAAGGGAATCATAAAAATCTGTTCTATAATTATATACCAGAACATAAAGCTATTTATAAGTTTTATATTAAAAGGAAGTTGGCCACACTTTAGAAATATTTAAGTGCTTGTGACAAGCTTTCAGAAAAATTCAGTCTTTCCAGTGATGCAATTCAGTTGGTCTTATGTTCTACTGGAAGGTGGCCAGTTAACTATGATGTCAGCATTGTTTTAGAGTGAGTTCTAGAAAAGCTGTCAATATCTTCCACTCTCAGATGAATTGTATATTTGTATGCATATGCACATGCTTGTTGGATCATTTCTCCGCTGGAATAACACAATTTGGTTTTGCATGGCAGTTTTCTTCTAGAAGATTCAAGAGACTAGGTATATACCATCATATTGATACTTCCAAAGCCTCTGGAAGCTGACAGAGTTATTTTCTTTTATATTAAGGAGATACATGAGTAACTTAACTCTGAATGGGTAGAGGAGCAAAATTAGACTCCTTCATTGCTTTCCTAATCTTCTTCAATAAACTACTCCAAGTTAAACGTGAACTAATGCTCTAGAGCCTGCTGCGAAAAATTGAGAACTGCTTTTACAACCAAAAGAATTAAATGTTCTTAGTGGAGCCATAGACCTTCCAGATATGCTATATAAGAAATTTTACGTAATCTGTGAGAGGCTGGCCAGTCAATAAAGTTTATTCTCATTGCGAATGTGATTGCTAACTTGCAAGCTATAGGGTGGGACAGCTGAGCTAATAACCATGTCAACTATTTACCAGTTAAATAACTTGTGTTAAGTTATTTAACCTCTCAAAACTTCAGTTTCCCCATCTATAAAATGGAAATAATATATCAATTTTTCATCAGTTGTTATGTCATAGAAATAATGTATAAATCACTTAATAGAATGCACAGTACACAATGGGTACCCTGCTATCATTTCCTTGATGCAGTAGAATCTTGCACTGACTGCATCCCCTGTACGCCACACTGCCCATCCCAAACTTCCTGAATTGCTTCATGCAATCATAATAACAATACCAATTATGTTTTGAAAATTATTTAATAAAAGAAAAAGAATAGAGGTGAAAAAACTCTAAGCTCATATATATATGATCATACCAAATGATCCATGGTCTTCATCTTACTTGTATGAAAATGTTTAAGGAGAATGGAAAGGACATGTGCAGTGTTACTCACAGAGGTCCTGCAACTCCTTGCGAATAGCCTGGTGACCTGTTAACCCTGGCCAGGGATGGTGCATCGCATCACACAGACTCTGTTTCCTTAGAGTGGCAGCCTGAATCACTCTGTAAACCGGGCTCTGAGGCCCTGCCTAGGTTCAGTGAGGAAAACGATGCCACGATCAACTTGCTGTGCTTTCTGTGGGCACCAGGGGCAGGAGAAGCAGCATAGGTGCCATTATTTATCGTCCCACAGGAAAGGTGTGTGCATGACCTCTAAAGACCCTGTGTGGCTTGGGGGATATGAGCTTTTTGCTTCTGGCTTGATAATGCCGTCAGGGTTAAGCCTCCTTAATTTACTTGATCATCTCCTTAAGAGACCATCAGTTAGTACAAAGAGGGTTTCAAAAGCAAATGAAAAAAATGGTCGCAAACCCAAGAGGATTCTATGTTTGTTTTTATCCTTAGAAAATCCTCCTGCCTGTTCTCCCCAAAAGTGTCCAGATAATCCAAATTTTCTTCCAAATCTACTGTGACATTACGAAGACAATGACTTTTTCTGGTATAATCATTTCCCCTTGAACCATAAACAGTAATGTCTTAGAGACTTCCCTTGATAGAGGGTCAGACCCAAGGAGGGTCAGCCTTGGTTCATTAGAATTTCATTAGAATCTACTTTGGGAGCTTCTTTTAGGAGGTCATCACTGATTATTTTCAGTGTTAAATCCTTTCAGTGCTCGCTAGAACTGTAGTAAATTGCAGTATGCCCTTAAGCTCTATAAATTATTTAAAGGCTTGAAAGCTGAAGTGATTGGCATACACAAGGAGAGGTATATTGGTTAGAAAGTTTTGGCAGCAGGTTGTTTGCTCAGAGTGGTTGAGAAGAGGTAAGCTCTATATTTGGACCTTATTGCCTGCCCTGTAAGGTGTTGATTAGCACAGATCTGGCCCACCCAACTGGATTAAGCCCTAGAGAGGAGAAAAAGTAGGAATGAGTGGTGGTGTTGATGCTTTGAGAGCAGGAAAATAGAATTCAAGCAAGCAGATGGTTTACAGATTTACTGTGGTCTCTAAGTGATTTACAGCCTCAGCCTTTGATTTTATTTCACAAACATTTTCTTTCAGCCAAGATTTTCACAGATTTCAGGGCCAACTAGAATGGTATTTGTTTTTCCATTAGCTGAAAAAGCATTATTATTTAATAATATATTTAAATGATACTGAGAACTCTGTGTGCGGTATTGTTTTTTTCTCTTCTAGCTCCTTTTTGATGTATTTTTTCATTGCTTCTTCATATATAATTTTAGAATTCCATTTCCATGGCAGGGTATGGCCCCATAAGCATATTACAGGTATTTGTGTAATAGAAGAAGAGATTTCTGTATCATAAAATAATTATAGGACATGTTCATTTATTCTCCAGACTAAGCCAGAGAGTTGTTTATTCTAAGAACTTAAACCACCCAACTGTCAAACTCACTGCTGTCTGTTTGTTGCAATGGACATCTTGAAGATTAATTCCATTGAGTATCCACCATGCCCCCGGCTCTGGAGTAAATAAACATTGGAATGCATAATGAGCAAAACAGGCACAATTTCTGCATTAATGAGGTCTCTGGTCTAAGAATTTGTGTTTAAAAAGAAAAGTCTTTCACATAGTTATCAATATGCAGAGGATTTGAATGAAATGATAAAGTCTTGATGATTTGAAATACTTTGGGTGCCATCACATGTTTCTAGAGCAATATCAGGGCATTTTTTTTGCAGACTTTGTATTTAATCAGTTTTTCAAAGCAAAAATGTACAATTAACAAAACATAATTTTAACAAACGTGGCTTCAGGAATTGATAAAGGAAATGGTAGTATAGATTACTTCATATTATTTTTTCTTTGGAAAATCTGAAAGTAAAATTTAGTTACTCTTTTTGGAAAGAAACTAGTATTGCTTTTTATAACCTTTGAATTGAACTACTTATTTTACTTGTTGGATTCAATTCCTCAGATAACGTTTGGTCTCACATATGTTCTGTGAATACAAGATCAAGATACTGCTTAATGTCAAATAGCTGTAGCATTTCATCTACTAAAGGAAACATAAGTGATAGAAGTTTGCCTCTAAACAGTAATGTATGACAGCATGTAGACTGTCTAAAAACAGAAGGGTTTGCCCCAACTCTTGGCTACTCATCAATTTTATAGCCTTTTAGAAACTATTGGTCTAACCATTGCATGAATTTTACTCTGGTATAGATGTACATATACAGGATTTTATAAAGAAATCAAGTGCTGTTGACTTTTAGAGAGTTTTTCAGAAAACTTCATGTCAACACTGTCCTCTCCCCTGATACCTATTACTTCTGAGTTGAAAGATCTTATTTAAATCTTGAATGAATGAGGTGGTGATATGCTTCTCAACACTGCTCAAACAACAAAAAGCTTAGAGTGAGTGGTATTTGTGGGTTTTTAGCACTCATTTTCTTTACTTTTCAACTCTCAAAATCTACACAAATAGAAATATCAAGGACCAAGTCTGCTGGCAAATGTGTTATTTTAATCTTGAGTATGTTTGAGAATGTGTTTGGGAGTTAAGAGATCCCTGACAATTGGGAACTTCCAGACATGAGCCACCACTGCCAGGGTAGATGAAAGGAGGGCTTCTTCCCCCAGTAAATGCCTTGTGGGGATAATTTGAGGGAAGACAGCAGCCTGGCTTGGAACCTCCAGAATGAAAAGGAATTGTTAATGTGAAAAATCAGTAAAAAGAGGGGAATAAATATCATCTCTTGGAACAGAAATACAAGCTATAGGATAATTGGTCCAATATCACTAGAGGAAAGGGAGATTTGGGAGTTAGGATAACATAAAGACAAGCATGGCATTTTTCAAAAGCAATAATATAAATAAAAATTAAGCTATTCACAATTTATTTTCTAATGTGAGAGGGTTAAATACAATTTGGCAAGGCTTTCTGAATTTATTTAGTAGTAGATAAAGCTGACTTTGCTGGATCCATGACTCGAAATTGGCTTACCGCAAGCCTAAGATCAGAAACTGCCAGCATTTTTTTGTCCTTTAAGAGAGCAGTCGTTCTTATCTGACCATTAAAATTGCAGCAAGGTTAAAGAAGACTTTACAGTGTAATAGATGCATTCTCAGAAAGTATGCATATCTGAACTCACAGTATTCTATTTTTGAAGATTTTGTAAAGCAGGAGATTCTCCTTCACAAATTGCAATGTATTTCCTGCCTCTTGGTCATGTGGTGCAACATAAAATGCTCTCTATTTTCAGAGTATGTCACAGGGTCTGATATTATCTTTCTTACAGTTTCAGCCAGAAATGGTTCAAAATCAGTAGGTTGTCACAGAATTACAAGGAACCCCAATGAGTAAATCTTCCTGTGAGCTCCCTCCTTTTTATTTGATTTCTATACAGCTATTTTGCATGAGCAAGGAAAGTAATATCTACCTCATAACCGTTCATGCTTTCTCTATACCTCTCATGACCATAGTGACAGCTCTTTTTGATGCCGTTTTTGCTTGCAGGTTCAACTCTTATGTGAACATGAAAATTATCCCTGTATTAAAATCATTAAATCTTTATGTTTACCCTCATCCTACTTTCATCATTTCATGTAGATTAGAAAATTTATCTTTAAATCCACCTAGATTATAGAAGGGCCTGTGGCTCCATGAAGGAACACAGAAAGGTGCCTCTAGGTACCTGTCAGGAAGGATGGTGCCAAGAGTCCTGGTCTCGGCCCTGTTCTTGGTCCTGCTGATAGAGTAGAAAACCCACTGAGCTTGACAATTTCAGCGTGTGACTGCTGACAAATGTCTTCACTCTTGTAAATCTCAACTTTGTTATCTAGAAAATGGAGATAACATCCCATTATTTGTAAAATTGGAGAAATGCCTACCTCACCTATTTCTCAGGGGTGTTGAGAGGATTAAATAGGCTAATGTATGAGAAAGTGCTGTGCAAACCATATAGTGCTGTTTAAACATAAGGTATAATGATGTAAATTTTACTGAGCTGAAAGACTAAGCAATAGACTTTGGGCAAAGAGCCTCAATGTGACTGCTGTTTCCTTCTTTAGAAATCTTTCCCCAAACTGCCATCTGACTTTATTTATGTTTATACTCTTGAAGCTCTTTGATTTAGAGCTGGCACTACCTCACTGTAAATATATAGCACTATGTTCACATCATCCCAAAGGCCAGTGTTGGGGCTTGCTATGTAAAATCCTGCAGTTTAGAGCAAGAAGGACCAAAGGCAAGTCTTGGTGATTGCTTACATGTTAGTGACAAGGCCAGTAGCCCAGAGCCAAAATCCACTAGCACCTACATAACACTGTCCTTCAGCCAGCATTAGAACATATCATGAAATCTTTCAAAATTAATCAAAATCTAACATCTTTTTTGTTTTACCTTTTTATTTTAAAGCAACTTACGATATTTTCTCAAGCCCTACAACATCAGATGAGCCTGAAATATCAGAGTCCCACACAGGTATACCCAGCCTCTCAATTCTGTCTTTGGATCCCAGGTGTTCTGACAACACTTGGCGGTTCACCTTTAGTTTTTGCAGAGTGAAAAAGGATGCTCTCTAGAGATCTGCAGGGGAAAAATAGCCATCTGTGTCAGGGAGATGAGTTCTACTCACTCCTCCCATGCAGTGATTAGATCTTTATATCCATTAGTAAATAAGCTCTGTTACACGAGGGAGATGCAGATAGACTCGGTTGCCACTGAGGATAAGTAATATAGTGGCCTATCATTCTATTGTTCAGAATCACTGTAAAAAGGTCTTAAGAATCTTAGAGGGTTTTCTCTAGAGTAATACTAATAGTTCTCAAATTGAGATAATTTTGCCTTCCTCCCACCCAAGGACATTTGGTAATGTCTTGAGGGATTTTTGGTTTTACCAACTGGGGGACGTGCTGCTAGCATCTAGTGGATAGACATCAGGGAGATGCTAAACCACTATGGTGCACAGAGCAGCCTTCCAGAACAGAACTATTCAACCCTCGATGTGAGTAGTGCTGAGGTAAGAAATCCTGTTCTGAAGCAATCACATCATTTCTCTATAGTGCTCAATTGGGTCTAGTCTTTGTCACTCATTTGCCGACCCATCTATAGCGAGTTACCTGAGTCTGACGGTTCCTTTGAGCAAGTGTTTCTGAAGCACCTATGAACCTAGGCACTCTAGGAGAGCCAAAGAGAGTAAGACTGGTCACTGCCAGGCATAGATATATGTCTGATATTTTTTATACATGTAGCTTTATCTCAACATCATTTATGTCATGATAAATAAAAGTGAATAATTTTAAACAGCAGAAAACAAACAAACAAAAAAATAGAATGCCAATAGTGGTTCAGTTAACAATTATGCAGCAGAAGGAAGAAACCAGAAAAACCAGTTGAAAATAAGTTGAAGGTATGAAACACTATTTTATCATGGTTTCCAGTATTTAAAGTATGTATATTTTTTAAAGTGAGCTCATCTTCAACTCCTAATAAATCATTTTAAAATGTTGGTCAGCAATCCCTCAAGTGTCCTTGATATTTTTCCCCATATGAGGCATAATTTATTACTCATGAATTTGTATTTTATTCCTGGGGCCTTCTACTACTTTTATAAATGTTGACATTTATTCCAACAGCAACAAGTGATCGTATTCTGGATTCTGTCCCACCCAAAACTTCTAGAACTCTTGAACAGCCAAGGGCAACACTGGGTAATGTTTTTAACAGAAAAATCACACTTTATTTTCCATCAAAAAAAAAATCCATGTGAATGCCTTTCTTCCAAATGACCATTTCATTCCATCACATCTAATCATTTCTTTCCTTTTCTTAATATACATGTATAAGTATTTTAAATGCAGGCATCTTTTCTATTCCATTTTGGGCTCGCTCTTTTTTTTTTGAACTATAATGATATTTTCCCCATTCTTACGGGGAAAGCTGTGAAAAGCTTTGAAAACTGCATGGACATCATCTGCACCATCTCATGTCATGTGTTTGTGGCCTGTATCACCTCACTTCCATGCATTGAATCTGCCTGGAGTCAGCTACTGAACAATTATCATTTTAGCCTTTTCCCCATTTTAAATCAACATTCCATTCACCAGCTTTCAAGACTACATGCGTTTTTCATCCTTCATCATGTACTTCTAGCATGTGCTTTGTACCATCTAAAAGCATGTTAAAATTCTTAAAATATTTCATTTTAATGGGGATTATTTGGTGGGATGGGGTGTTTTGTGCTTTCAGCTCCAAGTGATATAACACCAGTTGTTCCTCAAACACTGGAAATCTTTACCAGTCCTGAAATGCAACCTACAACACCTGGTAACTAATGACATTTGTGTAGTTGTGTGGTTTGAAGAAACAGGTAATATGACAAAAGAGTCATGTTGGCTTTTTCAGAATATTTTCAGTACTAAACATTTCTCGTTATTCTCTGCCAAGAAATTTTTCAAAGAACTGAGTTATCTATCATACCTAACCTTATGACGATCCTCATAGAATTTCCAGAATCTTGATGTCTATGTATTTTGAAGAATGGTTTCCTTCCAATACTTCTTTCAATGTTGCCTGCCAGAAAATAGCAGGAGAATTATAGATGATAATTACTTTAAAATATATTGCCTTTTATTTAGCACATTCAGATATCACTCTATCATAGTATTTCACCTGAAGTGTAGTCTAAATATAAGGAGCACCAAGTAGGCTCTGTAGTCCTGGACTGCAGATGGAAAAAGGGAGGTAACACAACCTTCGTTTTGTAATAGAAAATTATTGGAATGGCAAAGGCCATTAACTTTTGGTGAGGGTAGTAATGAGCTACAGAATTAAAGAAGTTCTGAACTATCCATTCTCTAAGTCCCAAATATTTTATTTTTGCTTGTCCCCTGCTATTCAGTGTCATCCTTTTGGGTTCTTAACTGTACCTTGTGTTCTGAAATGCCTCTAGAGTGCTCATTTTCTGGTACATTTAGTTGAACAGTGTATCTTCAATTCTTATGTGGAAATTTAATACCTTTTGGCCCAGTCAACCCTTATTTATTGAGTGAGTGCCTACTATGTGTTATATAAAGCAGGGTGCTGGGCCTTCTAGAGATACAAAGAAATATAAAACAGTTCTTGCACTCAAGAAGTTCGTAGGTTTACAGGCACAGCGGTATTGGCCCCTGAGAAATATCATTTATCAAAGCTCTGTTAAATCTTCTTCTTTCAGCTCCCCTGCAAACTACGTCTGTCCCTTCTACAACTAAACGACGCCACAGGCCTAAAAGGCCAAGACCCAAACCTGGTAAATAAATGTCTCTTTAACCTTTCAGGCTATTTAATTCCAAACTGGTAATGTCATCTCCTTATCATAAGAAGAAGAGAGGTGATTCTATGGGTTAATTTCTTTACAAAATTTGAAATTAACTGAAAGTGAATTATTAATAATACAAAATGACAAAAATCAAATGTCTCCAACAGGAGCTTACTGAAAATTATGTGATTTTTTTTGCATGAGAACTTTGTTGTAAACCTAAAAACAAGTCCTACTGTCACAGCATTATAGAGTGATATATACAGTGTAATTCATTCTTTGTATGCATCTATAGTTAAGTATTTGGGGGCTGATGGTCCTTATATTAATATTTGGTGCCTGCTGTTTTCAGTTTTGCACCAGGGGCAATGGCTAAGATGCAGAAGACATGACTCTGGCTTTCAAATAGCTTATAATGAGAAGATAAAACAAAACCATAAGACCGTAACATGAGATTATATAACCTATTTCTGAGACTATAATATTTGTGTAAAAGAGTTGAAGATGCAGATGTCAAAATACATGTAGGGTTTGGACAGAGAAAAAGGAGAGGGAACAACTTATATTACAGCGCAGAATTTGGGTGGTACAGATATAATAGATTATCAACCTGAAGATGATATTCTTCATCATCCAATACTATACTCAGAATCGTGCTCGACATGCTAGATTTTGCTTATTCCTCTGTAATATAAATACAATTTTATATGGCCCATACTGTTATGACAGTTTAGAAATTCTTTCCCCAAACTTTTACTCATTGTATACTTTGTTAACTCTGACTACTAAATATGGCAGGATTTTAAACATGTCCTTCAGTTCCTCTTTGGAGGCTATCTCTTTATCATCTCTAGGATATCTCAATATTTCTTTTTTCCTTTCCACCAGAAAGAACCACAAGTGCTGGAACAATTACATCTAAAATTTCTAAAAGCCCTGAACCTATATGGACAACACTGGGTAATACTATGTTCTTAGTAGCATGTGTTACTTCGTTCTACCAGGGGAAATCCTGTACCCTAGATTTGCGTAATGTCTCAATAACTATTTAAAATGCCTTATTTGAGTGATAGGGAAAATCTGATCGAGTACACCAACTCCATGGCTATTGTGGTTGTGGATAGCTGGCCTATAATTAGTAGATCTGAACTCAGCCTTCAGATAACATCCTGTGCCAGCTGCTTCCTTGCCTTTTATACAATTATTACATTTGAAGTTGGATCTTATATATAGTTTTCCTTTTTTTTTTTTTTTTTTTGAGTAAGGTCCTCAAGTTCAACTTCAGACTTCATTTGGAAAAATGACTTTTAATATTGGTGTTAGTAGAATTTCTTTATGCTTCAAATCATAGCATTATACCTGTCAGTGAATACTAATTTTAAAACATGACAGGTTTTTTCCTGGTGCTTAAAGACTTAGATACAGCTGAAAAGTAAGAAGGGTATAAAATGATTAGACTGATTTTTTTAAATCATGGATTAATATCACTGTCTTTGAAGAGTTATTGTGACTATCTAGTAGCAATTCTATATTTGTCAGGTTAAATATAATCTTGAAATGTTTTTCCAAACCAGATAAAAATTTCACATATTCCCATTAAATACTTCTCTATGGATGTACAATGGAATATTTCCAAAATCTTCCATGATAAGTTCATTCCACTTAATGTATAGTTTACTTTTAGGTTTTCCTTCTGTGGTTTTAGACACTGAAATGCCTAAATATTGATCTGTTGATTATTTTGTGTCTTTATTTTTCCAGCTCCCAGTAAAACACAATTTATTTCTTTGAAACCTAAAATCCCTCTCAGCCCAGAAGTGACACACACCAAACCTGGTAATTACCCTAAACTTTTTTAATATTCCTAAAGTAGAGTTGAAAAATTGTCTCATGCAACTCTTTGGAGCAAGAATTTCTGATTTGTATTTTGATATTTGTTACATTTTTCCATGGAAAATGCAAATGTGCAATGACATGATCTCATCATAAACAGCTACTGTGATATTATCACAGCCTTGCTGTGAGCTGTGTGGTGGATCATTATGTTCAGGACCATCACAGAGAAAACACAGAAATACAACGATGTAAATGATTGAGGACTCCCTTGTCTAGGACTGCGAAATAGTTTCCAATACCAAAGTTGACTGGAATTCTAATCACACTGAACAATAGCCTTTTAGCTGGAAAGGGGAGAAATATTTCCATCTTCTAAGAACTCTGTCTTAGTTTGGGGCCTCTCAGTTCTCAGGCTGCAGAGCCAGAAAGGCCTGTATTTTCCTAATGCTCTAAGACTTCTAAGTTGGGGCCGATTTCTGAACACTGACTTCTGTTTACCTCTCAGCGGATTTTAATGGCATTTTGCAAAAGAAAAGTCTCTTTTTCAGGAAAGGATTGTTCTATATATGTAATTAAAAGCACAATTCCCTGCATAAGAATTGCGAAACATACTGAATGACCAAATCCTCGCATTTTCTATCGGGAATCTACACAACAGTCTTAAATGTTGACTGATAAGATTGGCTATGCAGAACTTTGTCACTACTCATTGTCAGTGTTATATAAATTTTAAACCCTTAGCTCTGGAAAAGACTGCATTTCTCACTATGGTTAATGGATTTTGAGCTTGTATTTCCATTAATGGCATAATTACAAAGTAGGATTATTAAAGCAAGAGATGTTCTGCTAAAGTGGGCATGATTTATATTTGCAGCAAAATGGGTAAAGAAGAAAAATATAACTTCTCAAAAAAGGAATTCTCATAACTTCCTTTAAAGAAGCAGTGAGATTTCCAGGTGTAGGTGCAGACCGAAGGAAATTCGGGATTAGGCAAAGGGAATGTAGATGCTATGACCATAGGTAAGGCCTCCAAGTCAAAGAAATGGAATAAAAAACTCCCAGAGAGGTTTTTTTTGGAGAAAGAAGCATAGCTAATAAAACTCAAAAATGCTAACAGTTTAAATCAAAGAACTCTGACAATTAGCTGTATGAGAGAAGGCTTTAATGTACATTTATTAAAAAATCATGTTTAGTAGAGGGCTTTGGAATAAGGCATCGAAACTATTTATGCTGTATTTTGACTAGAGGGCTATTATGAAACAGATCAAGAAATATTACTGTGTGTTTGGGTCACCAAATTTTAATAAATGTTTCTTTAATGTAATTATTCCTGTTACTATAAGATAAAATTTGAAAGTATCAAAAAATATCACCAAATGTTGGTTACAGTGTATATACAAGTTACATTATTAATTTCACTGGTTTCTAAGAAAAGATTTCTCAGAGGAAATTCATTCATTAATACAGATAAGGGGGGGAGGACATGTTCTTATCATTCTAAGGTGTTTGGGAAAGAGACTTCTTAATTTGACATTTCCTTTTCAAATGGGAAAAACTACTTGGAAGCTAATGTGTTTCTACTCCTTTGACTTCTAAACCTTCTAATCACCTAAGAGAATTCACCCTTTTGGCTCAGCAGCAAGTTTAACCGCTTCAGAATCCAAGGCTGACCCCGTGCCAACTCAGGTTGGCCTTAGGTGGTCCAAGGCAATACGGAGTAATGACTGCTCACTGCAGACCATTGCTTTGGTTTTAGCTTCTTAAATTTTATTTCTTTATTTTTATTTAGGGCAGACCACCTTTCTAGCTCCAGTAAAGATTTCTGTTCGGGAGAACAAATAAACCACCAAAAGCTTTTTGATTTGAGTAATTCACTGCCTATCCCAGCCTTTTGCTCACACTCTCCTGGTTTTCCATTTCACTTTCCACACAGGTTGCTTTTCCTTCAGCTTTCCTTGGTGGTTACATTAATGAATTGAAATCCACGTTGGTTTGACCTTTGTTTATATACAATTCAGTGCATTTCTCACAAAGCACAGCCACCTATCCAGGTCCCAACTTGTCTACCTCATCCAATGAGAATCATTCCTTTCCAGGTTTAATCTTTAAGGTGGTAATGACATTCAGCTCTTCAAGTTTCTAACAGACTGGAAAAAAAGGAAAAGCCCCCAATTACAGGAGTTTGCTTGACACAGCTCTGTTCCATGGTGAATAGAATTGGAAATTATTCTCATTATTAACCATACATCTATGAGCTTTGTTTTGTGCTGAAGTGAGTGGCTTAGTCATTTGCAGGCCGCTCAGCTTTGTGACAGAATATTTTATACCTTTATTCCTAATACCTTAAGATTGTCAGACATAGGAAGTCTTGTCAGAAGATGTATTTGTTTTTACTAAACATCAACTTTACTGTTTTTATTATGCAGTCAACTCTGAAGCTTAATTGATGGGGTTCCATCCCTATTTTGTCTCATTCTTGTCGGGAATTCAAAAATGCAGATTTTTGTCTATAAAATTTAAAAAATAGCTTTCTTTAATATTTGTGGAGGCTGAAATATGTTATGAATAGCAAATCTGATTGACTTCTTCACACTTTTAGAAGGAATTTTGCAGAAAAGATGAATTACAACCTCAAAGTTTCAAAATAATTTTTTGTTTGCTATTTTCAGGTGTGGATGCTTTCTTGATGTTTATTATATTTTACATATTGATGCTTGTTTTCTCCTTTTCCTGCAGAATCTGAGACACCCAGATATTTTCTCTCTCTCACTCACACACATGGAATTTTTACTTTGTTACGCATCCTTCAATCTGTCACTATTGTTTGCCATTCATATGTTACAATCTATTTCTGGACAGATTCTTGAGAAATCAGAATTTGGTTTTTCTTTAAATAACTGCCTTTTAACTTTATTTTTTTATGCCTAATTTGTACTCTTCTATAGTCTCACACAAAGATTTTTTGGCCACAGACATGCTAATGAGTGATGATGTCTTCATATAGTACCTTCTGTTATTATTCATTGCTTTCAGAATACATGAAAATTCTCTACCTACATTATTTTTTGTTATATATTTTTTAGTTGCTATATAGAAACTATTGTTGTTAATTGCTACATAGAAACTATTATTGTTATAGTTTCTTTTTCAATCACTACTTGCATCCCCCAAACTTACCATATTCCCTTTATCCAGTAAAATCAGAGATAATTCCTGATAAATGTAATATTAGAAATGTATAAGTAGAAGAATGTTTAAGCTCTGTTAAGATGGCCAGTGAATGCCCTATTAATTTCTATAAGAAAAAAAGTCAAAGAATCTTCACTTTATCTTCTATTTAAAAAATAAGTTGAATTCCTTTTTTTTTCTTCTTGAAAACTAATTATTTTTGTTCATAGAATAATAACAAAACCTATTGGATGATCTTTTTAAAAACTCATATAATATTGTAACCAAGCTACATTCAGCATGAAGTATAATTTACTTACTGCCAGTTTCAATGAACATCAGAGGGTTTGTTATCTATCAGAATATTTAAATGTTCAGAATATTTAAATGTTCAGTTCTCGGATTTCATGAAATCCGAGATGACTTTCAGACAATAGATGCTGGTAAATACAGGAGCACCAAATGAACAATTGTGGTCCCCTCTAAACCATAAGTTTAATTCCTATCTTTTGTGGAAAAAAGTCAGGTCCAGTCAAGCTGGAGAACATTCCAAACTAACAGAGCACAGACATGGTAACAGGTCTGGTGGGTCTCTTGTCTTTTCCAGCTCCCTTGGGTGAACCTGGCTGTCCTATAAGAAACAAAATGGCATTCGACAAGACACTCATAGCAACCTCAGAGAGGCCACCCAGAACTCCCTTTCAGTTAGTATTTCCTCAGCCACCAGGGGCGGTCTTCACAGTATTGGGCAGTGAGGGCAATAGCTCAAGATCAACAACAAAAATGAGAATCCTTAATTCTTCTATTGTGGTTTGTGGAGAAGATATGGGGTGATAGAACTTCACTGTCATAGGTAGTAGAACCTAATCATTCACCAAGGAGGGAACACTGTTTATGGTAAAGAACATTTAATTTCTCTCTTAAATGGTGCCCCTCAGCATTGCTTTTCATACTACTTGCTTTTATTGCAGCCCCAGAACCTCAGACTCTACCACCATCACAGTCAACAATAGGTAATGAAGCTTTCTTTAATGAGTAAGAAAAATACATGTCTTTAACACCCTTTATGTTCAACTTTGTCCTTAGCTTTGGGTTACATATTTTTTTAAATATCAGTTGTCCTTTAGATCTTCTTCTAGCCATTTTTCCCAGATGATACACTCTCTGCCTGTGCTTGACTAAGCAGAGGCTCTGAGACAGCCACAAAAGCTGTAATGATTTTGAGTTGATACATTCTCTTATATTTGAGGAATGTGTCCTGAGCTTGTTCTAACCTGTTTATTGCCAGTAGAGGACCCTGGCTTCCCTAGGACTAGGACATGTTTGTGCTTTCACTTTTAGAGGTGTTTTTCTTACTTTCAAAACTCTAACATTTGCAGATTTTCTTGGAAAGCACTATGGTCTTTCCAGATCTAAATATCCTGATGTGTCACTAGGA